TCGAGACAAAAAGCAGAAACAGCAGCTTCTACTGAATCTGCTGCAACAAAACATCGCCGAAAGGAGTCGCATCAGGTTTCTCGTGCTTCTACAGCAGCAAAGGAGGAGAAGAAAAGCAGACGAAGAAAACCAGCAGAAGGCCCACCCCAGCGCGCAGCAGCAGCAGCGCCAAATGCAGCATCAGAATCAACAACAGCAGCAGCAACAACAGCAGCAACAGACGCAGCACCAGCAGCAGCAGAAGCAGAAGCAGCAACAGTATCGAATTCAAGAGAGGTAAAAGCAGCAGTTAGGGCTCGCAAGGAATCGGGGCAGCAGCAGCAGCAGCAGCATCAGCAGAGGCAACAGAAACATCAGCAGCAAGAGCATCAGCAGAAGCAACACCAGCAGCACCCGAAGCAGCGGAGACATCAGCATCATCATCAGCAGCAGAAACAACAGCAGCAGGAGCAGGGACAGCAGCAGCAGCAGGAACAGCAGCAGCAGCAGGAACAGCAGCCGCAGCAGCAGCAAGAACAGCAGCAGCAGGAGGAAGAGCAGCAGCAGCGGCAACAACAGCAACCGCAGCAGGAACAGAAACAGCAGCAGGAGCAGAAACAGGAGGAGCAGAAACAGCAGCAGCAGCAGCAGAAACAGCAGCATCAGCAGAAGCAGCAGCATCAGCGGAAGAAGCACCAGCCGCAGCAGCAGGAACAACAGCCGCAGCAGCAGGAACAACAGCAGCAGCAGAAACAGCAGGAACAGCAGGAACAGCAGGAACAGCAGCAGCCGCAGCAGCAACAGGAGAAGCAGCAGCAACAGCAGCAGCAACAACAGCAGCAGCCGCAGCAACAACAGCAGCAGCCGCAGCAACAACAGCAGCAGGAGCAGGAGCAGCAGCAGCAGCAGCAGCAGCAGCAAGAGGGCTCTAAAGACTCTGGAGGTGCAGGCTTGCCGCTGGATTCGCCTGGGAGTGTATCTGCTGCTGAAGCAACAAAGTGAAGAGCAACACATGAAGATAAATAAATAAATAAATAAATAAATAAATAAATAAATAAATAAATAAATAAATAAACAGACAAACAAAGAAACAGTAGCACATTATACCAGTCGTTATTTTTGTTTTTCTTTTAAAATATATTTGCATGCACTTTAAGCTCTCTGTACACTTGATAATGCTATAATAAATATTATATTATATATTATAATCTATATATATAATATTATATATTATAATATGTATATAATATATTATAAGATTATATATAAAATATGTGTTGCTCTGCTGCTGCAGGACAGTGCATGCAGATGGAGACGGTGCAGCAGCAGCAGCAGCAGCAGCAGCAGCAGGAAAGGAAGAGATGCACCCAAATCTTATGCTGCTTCAACAAATTCAATCTGTATGTCTTCTTCTTTTATTTTTATATTTCATTTGCTCTTAAACCCCAGATATATATATATATATATATATACATGTATACAATCTATATATACATATATATATATGCATGTATATAATATATATATAATTATATAGATAATTATATGTATATATACGAACGCATATATAGATAGGGATATATTTATATATATATTCGTACATATGTTTAGATACATATGTATGTAGATAAATACATATATATGTACATACAGATATACATATATATAATATGTATATTTATAATATATATAATATATATATATTATATATATTATATAATATATATATAATATCTATGTATTTACCTATTTATATTTCTGTCGATCTATATATATATATATATATATATATCTACGCACATATCTATACATACATATTCATATAGATATCTTTACATATATATACATATATACATATATATACATATATCTATATATATAATATATATATATATATCTATAGATATATAAATGAAGCTATACTGAAGTGCTTCTGCGTTTGTGTTTGTAAATATGATGAGTAGGCGAAAGCAGAGTTAATAGCGCTGGCAGTGTTGTTGAAAGACGAACAAAAAAGAATTAACAATGAAAAAGAAAGAAGGTAATGCAGTTGTTTTCGGTACTTGTTTGTTTCGTTTGTTTAATTTATGTTTATATATATAAATATAAATATATAAATATATAAATATATATATAAATATATATATATAAGTATATATATATATATATATTTATTTATAAATCTTTTTTATCTCCTTTGCTTTTCTTCTGCTGCTTTTCTTGTCTTTTGAGGTTTCTGTCTTGTTCTTCACTTTATTATTATTATTATTATAATATTATTATTGTTATATTATTATTATTATTATTATTATTATTATTGTTTGTCTGTATATCTGTGAATAATACATATTATATACATATATATTATATATATGCATATGAACATGCATATATGTAGATGCATATATATTTATGTTATATATATATATATATATTTATTTATTTATATATCTATACATATATGTACACTTAAAGTATATATATATACATTTATTTATATATGTATATATATATATATATA